TTGATCAAGACTATAAAGCACTTCTTAGGTGGGAATCGTTGAACAACGGGGGAGCGGTAGTCAATTCTCCAAAGCCCGTTGTGGGATCTTTCCTCACAAGATTTAAACTAATACTGGCAATGAAACAAGACGCCCCGCCAATAGTCAAACCCTTGCCGAGCGGTTTGACGGTTGATCGTGTTATAACAGATTATCTGCGCGAGATTGGAGGATTGGTTTTGGCCACTCTCCGGAAAACTTCCGCGGGCCTTACAAAGCAGGATATTCAGTGGTGCATTACAGTACCATCCATATGGGACAACTCCGCCAAAGAAAGAATGAGAAACTGTATGATCGACGCTGGCCTTGTAGACGGCGTTGACGGGAGCCCCCACCCGCTCATGATTGTGCTTGAGCCAGAGGCGGCCTCTTACCACTGCTACAAATACTTGCGAAATGGCGTGTTAAACACTGGGGACAGGGTTTTAGTGGCAGACATCGGCGGTGGAACCGCCGATCTCGTCATGCAGAAAGCTCTCGATGTTGGCGCGAATTACCGGGTTGAAGAAGTGACACGAAGCTCCGGGGGTCTTTGCGGTGGCATATACGTCGACTCGGAATTTCTCTCTTACCTGCATCGCAGAATAGGCCCCTGCTTGAAGGAAGTCGCAACTAGGAGCCCAGGGATCACCCAGCTTCTCTTGAGGAATTGGGAAACATTGAAAGTCGGCTTCAGTGGATCAGGCGATTCCGTAGAGTTAGACCTTCCTCGACAATTGGCTGACCAATGGGAGAAATACGACATGGAGATGGGCTTTGAAAGAAAAGAGGATTACGGCGAAGTGGTCATTTCGGACATAGATCTGGAACAAATTTTCAGGCCCGTGGTAGAGAGGAATCTCAGCCTTATAGCCGCGCAGCTGGATCAAGTGAAGGCCCCCGTGAAGGTCTTACTCGTGGTCGGCGGGTTCAGCTCCTCCCTATACCTTTTGAGGAGAATTCGGGAAGCTTTCAAGGATAGAGTGCCGCACATCTTCAGCCCTGAGAATCCTGGCAGCACAATCTGCCAAGGAGCCGTGGCCTTGGCATTTAGACCTGAAGTCGTTGTTAACAGGATCTCCCGGGTGACTTACGGGGTAGCATGCACCCGGAACTTCGAGAATGGAATCGATCCACCCGAATTCGGTATAGAGGTAGATGGGGCACTTAGGTGCGAGAACCGGTTCAGCGTCTTCGTGAAAAAGGGGACTTCCGTGAGAGCCCAGCAGCCGTTCAGGAAGGTATACCGACCGGTGTTTCATGGCCAGACTAAGATGACCTTCGATCTGTACAGCTCCACCGAAGAGGAACCCAGGTACACAGTAGGCGATACTGTCATGAAAGAAGGCACGGTAGAGATCGACATATCCTCAGGTTTAGAGCTTGGAAGAGATCGTCAAGTGGAGCTTTCTCTCTTCTTCGGCCGCACTAGCATTGAGGTCAAAGCAGAAGCGATCAATTTCGCCAATTTCGGTGATCAACACATCGATCTCCCAGTTAAATTCGGGTATGCTTGATTAGGCACTGCTGAGGTGGGTAGTGTCTGTCTGTATTATATGTCCCCACCCCTGAATCATTTGTTTCACACATTCTAATCACAAGGCTTATCTTCATGATCTGAACTGAACTTGTGAACTGCACAACAGAAATGGTATCAGGTGTGAACCACGGTACATGTAAACGTAAGGGATTAGTTTCAGCGAAGGAGTTGCTTCTGTTCGCCTTTAACTGTTAAAGTAGTCGAGAGGCTGTCGAGTTTAGCAGACAAACGGGAAGCTTTAGAATTGACGGTGAAGTGACAAGGTTTCAATGACAAAATGTGCTTGTTAGATTGGATGGAATGACACCAATTTTTTTCAAACACGTGAATCTGAAACCCCTTGTTTACATTTGCTTATTTATTTATTTATTTATTTTATTTTTATATTGATAAACTTATTGGATGTGTGATTATATTAACCTGCCATTAGTTGTGAAAAGGATATGGGTTTTTGACATCTTCACATCAAAGATGATGATGGCCTTGTCTAAAACATGTCAAGATTGTTAAACAAAATATTGAATAAAAATATGGATATTTCACCTAAAACTTTTTGGTGTAAATGAGAATTTTACTATATATATATATATATATATATATGTGTGTGTGTGTGTGTGTGTGAAGGTGTATAGCATGTGGAAGTATCCACACAATAAAAGAAAGTGTCCACACAATGATAAATAAAATAATTTTTTTAAGTGAATGAAAGAATTGCATAAAATATTATTATTAAATTTTATTAAATTTGATCAAAAAAGGAAAAAAGAAGAAGAAAAAAGTATGCCATTGCACACAAATCTTTTATTGTAAATTTACCCTAAAAGGTTAGAGTGTAAAAAGATTTTTATAGGGTGATAATGGGGGTGCATGGCATAAGGTGGTGTCCACATAATAAAGGAAGGGGTTTACCTAGTGGCTTCTTTAAATATTTATATAAAAATTTTGATTTAGTAAATACTTATTCTTTATTTAGATTATTTGAAGAATGAGAATTATTGGTGTATTTTTTTAGCATGACACTACAACCAAGACTACTTGCACAATGTACAAAGTTTCAAGAACTAAGAAGCCTCTTGGAGCATCTTTGTTGCACATGCAACCTAGGTGAAAGTATTCAGAAATTTTGGCTTTTGAAACAACTCAATATGTTATATTTTATCTAAACTTGCAAGCATTTAAAATATTTTTTTCAATTTTTGTAAAGATTGAAGATACCAATCTACTTTACTTTATACTAAAAATATTATTAGATAGTTGTAATTACTTTTTTAAAGTATACAATAACAACATATATTTTTTTCTTCTTGGAGTAACTTTGAAGTATAATACAAATTAAAGAAATATAAAATAATAGATTTATTTACAAAAAACCTAACAATAATGCCGTCTACAATCAATTCCTAAGCATAATCCCGGACAAACTTTTAAAATTGCAATAATAAAAAATTAGGGCAGTAAAATAATTTTTAAATAAAACCTTACTAGAAATTTCGAATGCAATATATCAAAGTTTAACCCAACTTCACTACCTCCAAAAATAAAACAAAACAAAACAAAAAACAAAATTCCAAACACTAGCATAATCTTACAACAAATCATACAACATTAGGTACAACAAGCTTAGCAACAACATGACAAAAGCCAATTATGATAGTGATTACAAAATGTTACTCTGAAGGCAAGCAGATTTGGAGGTCAATTTGTTCACATGCTCTATTTTTGTCAAACAGTCTTAGTTGCTCAATTTGACAGTTCATAGCAACGTCCAGCTCAGTCCCAGACAAGTTTGTTTCTCAAGGAATGCAAAGTGGACAAATACCGTCGTATAAAGTAGATGCAGAGAGTAGAATGAGGGGAAACTCGATGAAGAAAAAACGGCGACGAATAAAACTGGGGGTCGTCAGAATACGAACTGATCTATCTAGTTCTGAAAAATAAGGATAAGATCCTAATTGTTATGAAGGCTACACAAGGCAGATATCCTATAGAAGAAATCAAAACAAAACAAAAATTGTTCGACAATCCAGGTGCGCCATCGAGTAAAGATTGAACTTTACTGCATCAGATGTACTGAACCTTCTGGTACCAGCTTCACCCCTTGGATCCCAAATCTCCGTTCAATGTTTTCACCGTACACAAAGTATCTGCTGAAGCGTTTCTTGTCGGATAACTAGCCTCTAATTCTCGACTTAGATCTGGTTTTGGGCGATCAGATGGGCTCTGGACCATGTTAACAAGAGCTCCGACAATGCCGAAACTTTGGCTCTCCTGGCTCGCGCTCTTCCCGAATGGTTCCCGTGGTGACCCCGACGATCCTATCGGGTGGAAATCTACACTCCAATCCTGGCCAACTGCCCGCTGGCTCCCACTGTAATCCAATACCATGAAGGAAAACTTATGCATGGCGACTACCTCGCAACAACACAATTCAGACCCAGGACGCTACTGCTAACATCACCCAAAGGCTGCGATCGACGCCGATCGACCAAATACTCATCCGTCCTCTCTATCAATTAGTCCGTCACTAGATGAATCCAAGCATCCCCTACTAGCTTCCTCTCCTCTAAACGTTGTGGAGTAAAGATTGAACTTTTATTGGCTTATTGTCATACATCGCCTTTTCAAACTCCATCCGCTGAAATTGCCGAGGCTTCTCTTTTTGCATTAGCGAAAAATGTTGCATTGGTAGCTATTTGCAGAGCAATTCTCCTCCTTGTCCAATGCTGGATATGCTCCACATGCCACAACCATGTTGTCCATGTTTTAACTCACAGTTGCCAATCTGCTCAAGAAGAGAATCTCGGCTAACATGTTTGTCTCTGTCACAGATATATTATATGTGATTTACAATCAAAAACTCAACTAAGTTTTTGGATTCATTTCGTAAAAGGATCTTCATATCATATATTAGACGTCTACTTCAGAAAGATCCCTTATGTATTATAAAAACAAAACAAAACAAAACACTTGTTTAATTGTAAAGCACATAGTATATATTTGACCTAAAAATCTCACAATTCTAAATCTAACTACAACTATAGGTAAGAAAATTCTAAGTTTTTGGCACTTTTTGTTCCCCAACATTTTTTATTTTTTATTTTATTTTTTTTTACTTCTAAAATTTTATATAATAGAAGATTTTAATTTTAGTTTCAGTTTTAATTTCTTTCAAATGTACCTCTTTTTAAACTGATTAAATTATAAATATTTATTCTACTAATAAGGTATTTTTATTCTTAGGAATATTCAAATATATTAAACTATTATTAAAACTATATATACTTCAAATTAATTTTGATGTTGAGAACTACACAATATATGTATGATAATCCAAAATCTTTTCCAAATCTTGAAAAATTAAAAAGTATATAATAACATAAAATAATTAGAACTATGCAATATGTAGATTGGTAGCTATTTGCAGATCTATAATGTTGTATTGGTAGCTATTTGCAGTAGCAATATGTAGATTATTAAATATATCTTTTAGTTGAATGTTTCTTAAAAACCTTATATCATATACTAATAAAATAAGGAATATATATATATATATATATATATAGACATATAAACACATATGAATAGATAAAAAAATTACAGAAAAATAAATGAAACAAGCCATACATTTAAAAATCAGATTATTTAGGTTTAAAATAAATAATAAATAAAAATAGTAGAAATTTTACATCACAATTTATTGACTATGTAAAATGTAACATTGACAACCTAGATTGATACTATTTAAAGTGAAATAACTTAAAATCTAATTAAATTAGTTTATAAATTTATAATTTTAATTAATTAAAAAATAAAATTAGAAAGTTTTACAAGATTTTAGAAGTTAAACTTTAAAATTCATCAAAGAGTTCTAAAATACCAAAGATTACAAAAAAAAAAAAAAAAAAAAAAAAAAAAAAACATGTACAATGGAGTGTTGTTTTAGATTCTACTAAGGAGAGATATAGAGAGACTTTCTACTTAGAAGGTAAGGTCAGAGGTCCTAAATTTAAATCCTTTTATTGGTTGAAATTGAGAACCCTCACAGAGTTGGCTTTATAGTTAGAATTCTTTTTTCCAAATGCACTAAAAAAAATATAAAATGATATAGAATGCACTTTCACCTACATGACATGAAGAACTAAATATGAAGTTTAAACATTGTGATGTATATAGACTTTGTCAAGTTATTACACCACCAATCTTTCAAATTGAAGTTTGTAGTAGCAAAACATAAATATATATATATATATATATATATATATATATAATAGATGAAATGAGTACATGAATAGAGTTAGCTTTAATTTAATTGGGTGAGGAGATGCAAAATTTTAGCCTGTGAGAAGAGCAAGGGTTGAAAGGCAAGGGCTGCTCCACAAGGAGTACGTCAGTTGTCTTCACAGTTAAAAGCTTTGTTTCTCAAATTAGTTAACAACCCACAATCAGATGCGAGCAAAACCCACAGCCTCACTACCCAGTTGTCATGCTCAATGGACAGTTAAGTTACTGCATGTTGGAGCTTGTGCAGTTGGTCCCTCTTCTGGTGCTTACAAAAGTGGATTAAAAAGCACATTGATGGAGCACAGCAGCAAAATGCCGCAGTTATGAGCTGAAGAAACATCCCAATAGCTTCTTGCTGCTGCAGCAACCATGCATCCATGAAACCTCGGAGAAGTTAAGATCTGATCGTTGTCTTGTCTATCCACAAACAGATCACAGCTTTGAGTACACAGCAAGGTTCCCAGAGTTTTTATGAAACGTTGTCAGAAGGTATGAATGCATCTCAAAACCCAAATTCTTTAGTGTGTTTTGTTTTAAAAGCCAAGCCTCGCTACCTGGGCATGTGATGGAACTATGACTAAGACTTGCCTGCACCAGTAGATGGCTCCTGATGTGAAGTATCTATATGAAAGCTTTATTTTATTCTGTGAAAGCAATAACCCATTAGATTGAATGCGTGAACAACTGTTTATCCAAAGAAAGATTTAATCCAGGTTAACGTCGCTGGAAAAGCAGCTCTACTGTTCATGAGATGATCAAGTGAATTGAACCGAAACGTGAAATACTGAAGAAGGTGGGAGCTACAGACGCATATCACTCCGGCTAAACCTGATTCAAGGACAAATGACAAAATACTGCAAAAGTTGAATGCTTCCCAAGCTGCAAATTACTTCTGACCTCCAATTCAGCAATCTGGTACAGCAATAGAACGTCTATTCACATCCAATTGCCTCATTGCCTAGCGAAGACACCCGATGAGAAAGTGAAAAACTCGAAATGACTGACATGCAAAGAAGAACCCCTGCGCGGATGCATAGAAGCCTTGTGGAACACACCAGCTGGGGTGCAGCATGCGCACTTCATTCTCCTTTTCTAGCGACCAAGGTTTTGGAACCCCATGTTTAGCTACCGTAAGATTCATACATTACATTGCTAAAGAACACAGACTATATCCTAAATCCCGAGGGACACGTGGAATCGGACCACATCCTAACTCTTGAAGTACATGGGGAAGAGGAGAAATTAGTTTTGAGATCTGAAGGAAAAGCCCATTCAAGTGTCGCTGAGCTTCAAGGCACCAAGAGCAAAAGTCGGTCCTCCAAATAGCAACGTTCACAGACACTTCAATGGGATTTAAGCATGTTTTGATGTTTCTCTGTGTCCTGAAGCACGCCCGAAACAAGCCACAGCATGAACCCGGGCAAGACAACGTGCGGACAGAAAGACAGACAGGAAAGAGTGCTACAAGGAACATTGCCGTATTAATTTTTCGATGATCTGGTAACACCCTCCCTTTTCTCCACAACAGATTGCACGCACATCAGGTGATTGTCCTCCGTTACTTGGTCTTCATTGGTGTGCAGTTTCCGTGGAACGCATTCAATCGCTAGTGCCAGCATCAGCGCAAACTCTAACCCAAGTTTAAGCAGTTCATCAGATCGATACACAAAACAGAATTTCTCACAAAAAAAAAAAAAAAAAAAAAAAAAAAAAAAAACTGGGCCAGGGTTACTCACGCTTGCCCTGACGAGAGCGTCACCAAGTGAACCCAAAGTGATACCGAACTCCACTTTTGTTGAGGGAAGAGATCGGATCCCTGAGTGAAGGGACATACCCAGCTGATTAAGTTTGAAGATCTTACATGACGACTCCTTGCTTGTGAGGGGCGAAATTACTCCTTTAATCTCAACTACCTGCCGCCCATCGCAGGTGTAGGTAAGTGGCAAATGAGACAGATTAGCCTGTCTGCTTAATGCTGAGCACAGAAACATTGCAAAGGATCGTCTCCTTCACGCAATTTACCCACATCGTGCTAGCAGGATAAGTCCTAAACCCTGTGATCTTACAACCCTCTCAAGCGCTTCAGAGAAGTGTGAGTACAAACCGGAACTAAAATGTGGACAATGTTTACTACGACCTCCTCATAATGTTGATTTCTGTTCAATGTTGTCATTTCATCGATTTTCACAGAAATTTAACCAATAACTTTGATCCTTTGATCATTTGCAAAGGTTACCTAAAACATTTATGAAATGTCATGGTTAGTGTAACATTAACGATCTCGATAGTTGAAGTGGCAAAAGAGATGAGAGATTTCGAACAGCGCAACAATTATCCCTAGACTCGCAACAAGTTACTGAAGTGTTGGGACACTGATAATTTTTTTTTGTGAAAAAAGTATGATGTTTTTGAACGTTGATTTGCTACAATGTTGTGTTAAACAAAGATCACACTAATTGTTAGGTCTCTCTAGTGGGTTATGCGTTTCCGTTCTATGAACGCTTCCTCATAAAGATTCAGAGCTATCGAACATAGAAGGTCCGAGCGGTTGGTGATCAAAGCCAATTAATAGCCTCTTCCACCAATCTCCACCTTTACGTCCAGGTCTTTCACAGCCCATGGTTCAATAATCTCTTTGTGCAAGCCACTGAACTCTGTTTCAGAGCTATGCAACTGCAAGAGATAAGGGCCTTGGGAGGGTTCTCGGAGGCAATGAACATCCAATATATGTAATGAAAGCATGGAAGGGTACAAAGGTTCCATGCAGTAGCCAGGTTCATTTATACGACCCACTCATGATCTTCAAACAGACTTGCTTCACTGTGACAGTTTTGATGTCTAGTGAACCGTAAACCTGAACTGTGCACCAGTTCGTACCCACATTCTCGCATTACCGAGAGGCTGCTGAACCGACTTTGCAAGCATTCCGTGCGCCAAAGTCGCGATCACAGGCTCTGGCACCACAGTTGACACAAACTGACAAACCTGACCAGAACAATAGTTGCAAACTGACCACAAACTCCAGCTGAGAAGTCCTTCGCTTCCCTGACGATTCGCTTGAACCATCCGGTAGTGCTGGAATCAGACTTTCCAACAGCTGCAAGTTAGAACAACCAGTGAAGGGACAGAACAAGAGGGGAGAAAACAATCACAGCAGGTCCTACAGCTTGGATCAGTTCAAGGCCACAGAATGAACACATGCATCCATGAAATCTCCAAGTCGGTAATTTAACAACAAATAAGTCATTTCTTACCAGCCTCAACCAAAATGTAAAAATAATAAAACAATAAGCAATGACGACATGGAGGGGGGGTTGCAGGAAGGTTGCAGAATGGACCTACAGATTAAAGGGTACAGACCCACATATTGAGAGCTGACAAACAACAGGCAGAGGCATTTTTCTAGATAAAGCCATTTTATGTGTTGGGTGGTCAATGGAGTGGAGCCAATCGTGGCTTTAGTTGCGTAGGGAGGAGCTATGGAGTCACCCATTCAAAGCAAAATTGCTGAACCTCGACGTTATGGAGCCTGGGTCCTGGCCAAGCCTCTCCTCTTCCTCCTTCACACCCCTGTTTGCTTTTAAGCCTGCCTGCCTGCCAGTGTCACTTCTCCTTCTTCTTCTACTTCTAGACCTGCTCGGAGACAGCAACCATGACAGCCTCCGAAGCAGGTGGGGGAACATTCTGCTTCCATAAAATAAAAGTGCCAGTGTTATGGACATTCCTTAGCCAGGGAATGTGAGGAGTGCATTGCTTTTGTGTGGTGGAAATGGAAGTTTGAGTAGTTTGTGCAAATGGTGTATATGGTTATCTCACAACCCAACTGTTGTTGTGGTTTTAAGAGAATTGATAGGGTGAGAGATCATCATCCTTTTGCATGTCGCTGTTGTAATGTCACATTTTTTCTGATTTGATGATATTGAGCTTTTGATGTAAATATGCTCTCGTTGGTAACCTGATTGGTTTTGTTTGTTTGTCGTATTGACTTTCATTCATTGCTCTACAATGGAATTGTACATTGGTTTGTGTGTATGCATGAATACATATATATATATGTAGATAAAAGAAGTAATGTTGGTTTATATGTTTATACAAACGTTTGTAGGCAAATAGGTCACTTGAGTAGCATTTAGGATTTGTGGTTTTTTCTATGAAGAGAATCCTAATATTAAAATAAATGAAATTTAGAGAGATTGTGATTAATTCTACCTTGAATACCAAAAATCAACAATGGCTTACCAAAAGTGGTTGTGGTTAGAAATATCTTCACGGTGTTTAAATACATGATATAAAATTTTTTAATGAAAAATTTTAAACTCGATTTTACTTTATTTTATTTTGATTTTCAAGGGTATCATTTTCTGGTACTCTTGGAATAAATATGTGTCAAAACATTTCCTTGTGTCCATCGATTTAACATTGAAGAATACATTGTTCCAAGAATAATTAGATCATAATCTGCGATGTTGCCATCATTTAACTTTGAAAATAAATAGATTTTTTTCTCTCATTTTTTTTTTTTTTGGCTATTACTGATTTGCATAAAAAATTCCTATGTATATTAATAGTAATAGAAACATGGGTTTTATGCAATTTTTTAATTAAAAAAAATAATACAAATGTTGCAAAAAGATATACCTTCTATTAACTTAGTGTAGTATATAAATATATATATATATATATATATATATATACACACACATATGACAAGCTATGACACTAGCCTTTCAAAAATACCAAAAATGTTACTCCCAAATATTACTATTTACGTTTTTATTTAAGAAACATCTCCTAAATACATCTTGTTATCCATGTATATAACAAGTGTTTATCCATTTCAAGAATAAGAACATGTCTAAAAACATTTGGCATACCCAAACACCTTGGTAACCTAAGAGTGATGACCTCAATAAAAGAAATAAAACTTTAAAAGTGCAATTAGCTTTAAATTTTTATAGCATGCCCAATCACCTTGAAAAAGTAAAGATAATTCAAATAAAAGTATCCAAGTGAAAAAGTAAAGATAATTCCCCTCAAAACAAAGTAGCAAATGGGACATTGTATCAAACAAAGAGTTGAAAAAGTTCATGCCAATAGCTAGATTGGACTATTGCTCCACATCAAAGTTGGTGTAAAGGCTATTCATTATCACATTCCAACTAATTCCACATGCAGTCCTTTCCTTCACAATTTTGAATCATGTTTGCATAATCGAATTCTGACCACATCCTCTACTCCCAAGCATTGAGACAAAAACATTAAATTAAATTGAATTAAAATGGATCAAAATCTTCTATCCAAACACCCCCCCCCCTCCCATGGATGATATACCAGTGGGTTGCATCTATCCACGAGGTGCTAGTCTACAACACCCAAATCCACCATTTGAACAAAACGCCACAATCTCCATAATCAAACTAAAAAACAAGTTTAAATTATATATATATATATATATATTGCATGGATCCTAAATTTTATTCATTTATTAGAATAACAACTTCATTGTCCTCTTCTTCTTTTTATCATCTCACACATCATCACCAAGCAACCAAAAACCCATGGTCATGTTTGCAACCCTTCCACACACACAAGTGGTTGAGAAAAAACTCACCAAACCAATCCAACAGCATGTTTCCCCCCTCCCCCCCCCCTCTCAAATACACGTACACCATGATGCTATTTGGCTCTACTTTTAGCTGCGTTTTTTACTCTGCTTGTTGGGTTTTTACATCCTCATTGAACCAAAGAAGCTTAGCCCCATTTGTGACACCCCATAGCCAGCAACAATGGTACAAATGGGGCCAAAAAGTCCAACAATCCAACTCACTCTCTCACTCATACTCTGTTGTACACACACTCACACACTTACACTCACACCAAGCACTTACTGAGCCAGTAGTAGTAGTACTCTATTGTGTGGCGTGACAGATCCCTAGTTAGAAAGGCATGCTTTCATGAGGGGGGCTTGTCCACCATCAAAGCATTGGCGCTGCCACACCCACCACATGAGTCCGCCTTGTTTGTGGTATTAAATGAGACAGTGGTGGTGGTGATGGTGCTGGTGGAGAGGGAGTCAATATAATGTAAAAAGCTCTTTTGGACTTTTCTATAATGGATAGTACAGACTACTTGACAAAAGTGGTGGACCTTGTTATTTTATTTTATTTTTTATTTTAGCTTTGGGTTTTGATTTATGTTCTGTTTACTGTGCCTTCACTTCACTGTATATCTTGAGTTTTGTGTATGTTTGTGTGAGCATGTGTGTGTGTGAGTTTTTATGTGTGTAGGAGTAAATATTACTGCTTGTTGAGCTTGGAGTTTTGTTTAAATCAAATGGGTTTTACTTTTCATTTTTTGAAAAGTAACCTGGAGTTGTTCTTTTGTGAGGTTTGTTTGTAGTGGATGCTAAAGTTTGAAATTTGGAAACAAAATTGATATAATGTTGCAATTATGTAACTGGGTCTGTAAGGATGCATGAATGTGTTCAATCTGCATTAGAAAAAGCAAAGCTTGCATGTTGTAATCAACAGCATGTGCCTGTAAGAAGTTATATCATTCAAGTGTCTGTTATCCTTACTTTATTTATTCATTTTTTCATTTTGAAACATGGTCAAAAGTAAATGTAAAGTTTAACTAGTAACTGCTGCACTTATCACAAACCATAATTTAAATGAGAATTAAAATTTTAAAAAAAGTACAACCATTTAGTTAACATAAACACAGTTCAATAACACACTGAAGTTTTGAGATTATCAATGAATATATTTATTTATTTGAATGTAAATTTTATGCCACGGAATTTTTAGGTTTTAGGCAGTTTGCAAACAATTAGTCATTAATTAATATGTAGAGGGAATGTTGATGTTATCCTCAGTTTCTTCATAATTTCTGATATATACATATATATATATATAAAATACATGATTTGCAATTTTAGATTCTTTGTGTATTGGTCTTTGTCATTTAAAATTCAAGTACTTTGCATTTGACCGTTTTAGACTTGACTGAGATTTTTTTAACTTTTTGCTTCAGAAATCTTCTTTTACGTGAAAATTGAATTAAAATAATGCAAATTAGAAAATAGAAAGTTTAGAAAAATCACAGGTTTTAAACTTTTGATGAAAGAATGAACATTTTTATTAACAGCTTAACCTGATTATTTATAGAATTACAATGTTGAACCACTGGTACTCAATATAATTTTTTCCATTTTTTTCTAAACTAAACTCATTTCCTTAAAAATTATTATAATAAAATTTCATTTGAATATTTTATATAAATATATTGTATTCAAGTTGTTGATGGTTTACACTAAAAAAAAAAGACAGTTTGTTAGAATTAGTTTTAACAATCTTTTTACCATTACTAAATAGATGATATAATATAATAGCATCAAGATTTATGTTTGAAATTCAAATATTCTATTAGAAAAATATAAAAATAATACGCATTCTTTTCATCAATAAATCATTATCTAGAAGTCTATAAACTTAAAAAAACATCATTTGATAAAAATAAACTTGGTTTTTTACATTTGATTATTTTCTCATTTAGAATCAAAATACGACATGTATTTTCTTTTAAATCAACCACCACCTGTAGATATTTTGTGTTCTATAAATACTGTTTGATTGATCCACTAATATGTATTTTCTATATATGTATATATATATATATGTGTGTGTGTGTGTGTGTAAATTAAAGAGACATTTTTTTATACAATTTTGAACTTATTAGTAACTATAGCAAAATAGCCTTTGAAATCTTTAAATTTTTCTATAACTTCCCAAATAATTAAATCCTAGTAATATAAAAATAAAGAATCTTAAATAAAGATTAAAGTATAAAATGCTTTTTGATAAAATTAAAGATTTCCTGTATATATATATATATATATATATATATATATATCTATTTACATTTTTTATACAGTTTTAAGAACTAGAAGTTTGACTTGCAAAATAAATACTAAAGATATAGAATAATTCCTTAATAGATTCTTAGATTTAAAAAAATTCTAAGAATTTTTTTTACAATCACAAAGTAAAATTGAGAATATTTGTAGATTCAACCTGCATCTAAAAACATTACTTGATATATTTTTTAAAATATATTTTATACCTAATAGATTTTGTCTTACCTCAATTACATTAATTTAATAATATTTAAAGTCATTATATAAATACATATAATATTAATCTCTATCCAATTATTTCATTAGAACAATAATATTCTAAGTGTTTTGATAGTTTATAAAATTCAAGTTTTATGAAATAATATTAATACTTTAATAAAAAAAACCATATAATTAATTAATCGTTATTAATTTTCTGGTCATAACCTTCAAAGATCACATTTGATATATTAACAATTATAGTTTTATATTAAAATATATTACTAAATACTGAGAATCTCTTCTAAGATTGTAAAATCAAAATCATTAAATCTTATCATCTATTAATAAAAATGATTTACCTTAGGATTGTTATTTGAATTTAGATACAATAAATAATGTAATATCTAAAGTGATTTCTTTGATAATTCGAAAATATTAATTTTTAGTTGATTTTTTGAACTATTGAGTTTTTTTATTTTATAAGGAATAAATACACAAAGAATAATTATATATATATATATATATATATATATTCTTTGTTTTTTTCTTTACATTACCTTGTTGTTGCCATCAGTAATTGATTATTAAATTAAATATATGACATTAATTTAAAAGATGTAAATGCTTTGTAGTGCATTTATAAGATTCTTTGATAGTCTCTATGTAGGTTTAATGATATTTTGTTTACAGCATTATAAAATGTAAAAAAATGAAAATATTTACAAAAATAAACCTATCAATAGATTTCTTTTTAAATAATTAAAATAAATAATCTTATATTTAATTTCAAATACAAGACCAAATATATGTGATAAAATTTTAAATCCTAAGTCATTTACTAATTTGGGAACTAATTTTTTTATTATTTCAGATTCTAGTATTGTATTCATAATTTTTGTTTAGAAAAAATTAATTATCTTTTGAATTATTTAATTGTTTAATTATTTTTATCATCTTTATTGAAATTAATGTCAATTGAGTGCCAAATTTGTCACTTATTTTTCGAAAAATCTATTTGGTCTTTAATTATTTTTATAATTTCAATATATATTTCTTAAATCTCAAAAATTATTAGAAGAATTTCTTCAAGTGTGCTTCAATGCCGTACATCATCAACACATAATGATATCTGGCTCGTGTTCCCTTGTCACAATAGACTGAATTTCCTTCAATATACATATATATATATATATATATGTGTGTGTGTATGTGTTTGTGTGTACATATATATATATATATATATATATATATGAGAGAGAATGAATGAACGAATGAACTGCAGTTATGACCATCCTGTCAACAAGAGAAAGATTGACACAATTATAGTGGAAACAAAGGGAATTATACCACGAAGGGGCGAAACCACAACACGCCTGACCTCGCAGAGTGCTTCCTCCGACAGCAATGCACTGAACTGATTAGTACCTTTTCAGAACATTAAAATTCAGTATTGCATTGTGGCACGGAGTGAATATTTTGGACTGGAATGATGGCGCGGATGGCAGTAAAATATGGCGCAGTTTCAAACATGGAGAACTATCATATCTTGAGCATAGAAAGACTTGTGCTGTTACCATAGGTTTTCCAAGCACCGCTTGCTTGGATATAGGCTTAGTCTGAACGGACCTGCAGCTTCTAGATTACTGTGCATGTGCGTCTGTGCGAAGGGATTAACTTCGTCAGTGGCCGCGTGGCGGCTTCCGCAGAGGAAACTGTGTTGCGGTGAACAAAAACAAAGCGCAGTAAATGTTTTTGTTTTAATGAAATCTACCTTGGAAATGGAGAGGATCAAATTCTCGTCATTAATGGAAGGGGAGGGGAGCTTACAGACTGCAGCCAGCTTCGCCATGTCTGGGTCATGAAGACACCGCTCGGGACTGTCCGGACGAGCATGTTTTAAATGGCCCCTGAGCCATTGAGCTGTCCTAGGCAAAGTTGTTATACTAGATCAGCTCCACTGAGACACCCAGCTCCAAGCTGCTGTAGTCTTATCGGTGGCAGAGGAGCTAGCGAGCTTGGGACTGCTGTGGGAATTCAGGTCGCACCTGTCTAGAAGGTATGACATCGATCACAAAAGCTACATTGTCTAGCGTGAGTCCACAAAACAGCAGCGTTAGCATCCTTCCCTATCAAATCGCTGTCGGTAAGTATGCAAGTTTCAGCTGGACACTGTTTTGGTTGCATTTGTTTTTATCAGTGTTGATACAGGTAAGTTTCGTCGTGGGCGTAGTGAAGCAGCTGGGTATTGTGTTTTCTGCACCTTCTGATATGGTGAGGCCTTGACTAGTGATTTAATGTGCCCATGCTCTGACTACTATTGGACCTCAGAGTGACCCTTCATGGCAGTGAATCTGATACACTTGCAAAGAAATTGCTTGAGAGCTTGTAGGGATAAAACCTCTGATTGAACTACTCGTGAAATTTCTCAATGACAGCCAGTGAGATGCACTCCTCTTATGTTCCGAGTACATGCACAACATAAAGTTTTGTAGTCATTACTCTCCAGTTCCCATTCACACTCCGTCCTGGACAATAGAGTAACATTATCGTCCATCATCGGTTTACCGGTGTTTCTGGACAAAATGCTGGTCCTGAAGATACCTTAAATCTTTGGAGTGTTGTCCAACCCACTGTTCTCGAATGAGACGGCTGGATTTATACTGGTAGCTAGAATGGTTTAGTTTATGCTGCTGCATGGGTAACATCGGACTAATGTATCCTGATGTGCAGCGTAGAAGTGCCGATATCTATCACGGGTCTTGTATCCACTGAATTCTAGGAAGGATCCTTAATCTACTTTGATTTTTCTAGAACCAGAAAGTCATGGCGCTTCACTAATTTGTGCAGTAGGTTGAAAATCTGGTGTGTCCAGTTCAGACATCGATTCCTGTCTTCCATTTTAAATTCCCACTGATCTGGTTATTGACCGGCAGAAGTACTCTTGGTGTCTGGCCTCGCTTGCAGAAGATGGAGTTCTTAAGGTGCAGCTCAGCGAGCGTCGTCCCATTTATATGGATTTTGTTGCTAATTCCGAGCATAGCCAGTGCACAGAGACCGCCCGCGCTTTTCGTCTTCGGCGACTCGCTGTCGGATCCTGGCAACAATAATTTTATCAGAACGCTATCAAAGGCCGATTCTCCACCAAATGGTATCGACTTCCCCGGTGGTTTTGCTACCGGCAGATACTGCAACGGACGTACCACTGTGGATATCCTTGGTAATTCCAGAATGTACCATAAATTCCATTCAACAATGCTTATGCCAATCGTCATTGCAATACATGGTATAAGATTGGCTTACACATTGCACCATATTGTATTATTCTGCAGGTCAGAAGGCTGGAAAGCAAGGGTTTTTGGTACCGTATCTGGCACCTAATGCCTCAGGACCTTTGATTCTACAAGGTGTCAACTACGCATCTGGAGCTGGAGGCATTCTGGATTCCTCTGGTTATGTCCTGGTAAGATAAATGACCATTTGCTGATTTGCATCGTTGTTAAAGTTGATCCCCCCCCCTAGTTGCATTGATATCAGTGAGAATATGGATTTTCTCAAATTGTGTATAACTAAATTGACAAATGGTACTGCGTTTGTTAATCTTTCAGTATGGGCGAATTCCAATGAACAAACAGTTGGAGTATTTCGCTAACACCAAGGCCCAGATAATAGCGCAACTTGGAGAACAAGCTGGCAATGAGCTCATTAGTTCTGCATTATACTCGTCGAACCTTGGTTCCAACGATTACTTAAACAACTACTATCAACCCCTCTCCCCCGTTGGAAATCTCACTTCTACACAGCTTGCAACTCTGTTAATAAATACGTATCGTGGCCAACTCACGGTACATTTACTTTCCCCTGAATCTGCTAGTACTTTGGCAAGGTACACCTCAAATCAGTGTCTATTGTTAAGGGTTAAGCTGCTCATCAATGATATAACCATGCGCAGAAACTGTACAACTTGGGAGCTAGGAAGGTTGTTGTGCCGGCGCTAGGTCCTCTAGGCTGCATTCCCTTTCAGCTCTCCTTCCGGCTCAGCAAGAATGGCGAATGCAGCGAGAAAGTGAATGCCGAAGTGAGAGAATTCAACGCTGGTGTGTTCGGTTTGGTGAAGGAACTGAACGCTAATCTTCCCGGTGCCAAGTTTATCTACCTAGATTCATACAAAATTGTCAGTGAAATGATTGCCAACCCAAGAGCGTATGGTGCGTGCCTATACTCTCTTTCCTGATATGAATACCTCGATCATGAACAAAGATTCACTAGCTTATGCTCTTGAGTTGATGAAATTCTTACAGTTGACACTGTTGCTTGGTCACACAGGATTTACGGTTGCTAACGTTGGATGCTGCGGTGCTGGTGGTAATTACAAGGGAGTTGTGCCATGCTTGCCCAACTTTAACATCTGCCCCAACCGGTTCGATTATCTTTTCTGGGATCCTTATCACCCAACCGACAAAGCTAATGTGATCATTGCAGACAGATTCTGGAGCAGCACTGAATATTCTTATCCCATGAATATTCAGCAGCTCCTTATGTCGTAGCACTTCCACTGATTTTAACTCGCGAAAGCGAGCTTGACAATTACAACACAACTAATTCTCCAAACTAGAATGTGTATCCATTTTGTACTAGGATTAGGGTTTGTTTCCAGCAGATAAGTTTTTCAGAAGCAGATTATAGGGTGAGATGTGTTGATGGAATCTTTCTTAGGTGACTATCAACGACTTGGCGACTAGTAGATATGGTCTATTAATTGAGCGTATCTAAGCGCATCATAATAAAGATAATTGCCGAGAAGAAGGTGGTAGCAACGAATGACGTTAAAGCACTGGCCATTTCCATTTACTGCTCATCATGAGCGCGACATTCTACGCTGCCGAAGTGGATGTATGAATCAAACTTCACGAACAACTGATAAACCTACCGCCAAGCGTCAGTTTGTAGTGCAGATGCGCTTCAGTGACGTGCATTAAAGCAGATAAGACTACATCTAATCGGAACATTGTAGATTAAGAAAAAACGAGGAAGACGATCTTGGATTTATACTACTCTATCCTCTACAGATATTCACAAGCCGCTGACATTTTTGTACCTATGTTCGATGAATCGAAACATCGAACACGAGATATGGGATAAACCAGTAGTTAGTGCAAAGTGAGCAGTATGACAACTGTAAATCACCAATTCATATTTAGAATTTTAAAGTAACAATGTAAATCAGAGTTTTAAAAAATCAAAATGCAATAAAATATAAGGTAAAAACCAAGTCAAAACAACGAGCTGCCGGTTGATTATACAAATCGAAGGATCTTCGCTGGTTCTACACAGGTTTCTTCCCATTCCCTGATTCAGACAATTGGAAATGGAATGTTCAACTCATCCCTGGGATTCTCGAACACCTCAAATAACACCTCAACGTCGGCAGGCGCCACATCTTCAACAGTTGGTGGCAGCCAGTTGGGTTTCTGCCACAAGCCCCGATTTAAGAAGATTGTGATTAACATATCAAAATAACTTCAAATGGTGAAACACGATACGAAGTGTGAAAATCTACGTTTACCATAAAAGACAAAAAAAAAAAGAAAAGAAGAAAAGAAAAGAAGGTCTGTTTCTTTCCATATATCATGCGATACTAACACAAAATAAATACTCCTATTTCCAGGCAGATGTTTGTAGTAAATGGTTTTCTCAGCAAGCACAATTGCACAATTGATATTAGATTCAGCAACAATCAGGTTAATGAACGTAACAAGGTCTCTCAGGCTTACTTGATCTTTATCAACTAGCACTGCCCTGACACCTTCAACAAAGTCCGGCCTTGTTGACGTTCGCACGCCTAGTCTGTATTCAGTTTTCATAACCCCTTCGATCTGCAAAATTCGAAGCGATGAGAACCAACTTACACTGTAGTCTCATGTGACATATTTCTCTTAACGCAAGAATATGAAGGCTATTAACAAGTTCTATAACAAGGCTACTCTACTAACAGATGCAACTCAGCGCACACTTTCAATAAGGGAGATAATAATTGCATAAATACTATTGTTCATGCCGATAAAGCACTAAAAATTTAGAGTATTAAACCTCAGAAAGTTCGTTTTCAGGCGAATTCGCTGCAGCAGCTACAGCTGCGTAGTGGTGCTTAGTCACACTAAGGCTGAACGGAGCACCCTTGGAAATCCCAGCCAATGCTCCTTTAGCCCATTCTGCCACTGTAAACATCGACGGAACAGCACACCTCAGTCGAATTTCGAAGCCTCTGCCAATCATGACCATAAGCAATTGTAAGCTTCATATCTTCAACCGAGTTCGGAGTGTTGATCGATGCCACCGTCAATGATGTTTAGAATTAAGTAATTATCCTCCATTGTATGAAACATCTTGATTGTTTAGCATTCCCTGCCTAATTTTATCCCAGGACTCGTTCGATTACCTGAGGAATCATCAGAAAGTTCTTTTTCTTTCAGGGCCTTGATAGTGTCTGCCACTGAGGGGTGAGCTCCGAAACATGCAGTTATGGCAGGCAGAAGAGTCTTGAGCGGAGGATCTGTATCTGGAGTTTCTTGATGATGTGACAAGACCTCTTCCACTGCTTCCCATGCATTATCAGACCTGCACATTTCACCACATGTTAACGACTCGGCCTTTAAATATTCATGATGTTTCACTAGCTGTCGTACAAATATTTCCTTAACATTATGTAGAGTTTTTCTCCGCGTCAATATCTAAATTTAATCACAATATACCCGTAACCTGATATTCTAAACCTGTATCGACTGGACAGCTTAATTCAGGCAACAATTTATGGTGCATACCCTCTACATCGTTGGCCTACAAAAATTAGTATTTACGACGAGTTCAACGATACGTCAAGAAAACCACAAGTCATGGTAGAAACATACAAGGAATGACTGCGGAGAGCTTCTTGTAAAGATGACAATTTGTCGGTAGGTACGTAATGCGTACCCAGACCAACATACAGCGCATCCGCTGGATTGGAGATTCTCGCCCCTGTCATAGCCATATATGCACCTACAAGATCCAACATCAAGAAACATTCGGATTGTTATTAATTGCAGAAATGATGCGAAGAATTCGGCAACTTAGATAAAGAATGACCACAAAAGGAGGCATTGCACATCAGCTGCATGTAATTTTAACCTCCTAGAAGTGAATGCTATTAATCGCCTACAGAACAGTTCAATAGCAGACAGCTCACCTAATGATCCATTTCCTGGACCCCTTGCAGCAATATGTGCAAATCCGACATCAGGAAAAAGGCCTATTCCATTCTCCGGCATTGCGAGCACTGTTTTCTGCCACAAATTTGGATTCGAATTCCAAAAATCACTTTATATTCCTTACAAAACCCTAAGAGTTTATGAAAATTCTATAACACTAACGTACATGGACCTGAATAACACACGCCAATTTGAGCCTATTTGAAGGATAAATCTTTATCACTTAAAGCTCAATCACCAGATGTACGCTGAGACAGCACCTCGGTTATCACGCGGAATCGACCATGACCAGAGAGGCCAATCCCAAACCCCATAGTAACGCCGTTCATCAAGGAGATATATGGCTTTTTGTACCGTGCAATGGCGCAGATTAGTTTGTATTCATTTTCAAATACCTGCATCGCACCACAAAATTGATACCTGTGCAAGTTAATCCAAAGGAATAATCACCAGAACTGTGACTGTAGTAAACAGCCCAACCAGAGTAATCCATTTTATCCAAGATTCTAATGAAAAGACTTGGTTGTAGTGAAGTAGTACAGACCTGGCAAGCCAATGCTAGAGCACTATGTCTCGGTTGAGACATCATCGTTTTGACATCTCCACCTGCATGCAGATGTGACCAAACCTTTCAATAAGATACTATTTTAAAAATTAAATCAAATGTTCACAGAGAGCATTGAAGAGAGAGTTTGCACCACAGATGGCTTTGTATTTTACATCGTTGATGTAACCCTTTTTACATTCATGCCTGCAATGAGGCCAAACTCGATCATCATTTCTGATGTGGGATCCCACCTATTTGACCCACCTGCATGTTTTGAACAAGCGAATTGTGGAAGAACAATGCGACAACCTCGTGGCAAGATACATGGTTGCTGTTCAAGGTACAATAACGATAATACTGTTGATTCGATCCCTAATTCTTTGTTCAGAAGCCAAATTCTTACGAAGACCGTGAATGACTAGGCAGAGAAGAGTGATGATCAATTCTGTCAGCACACACTCAATTTTAGGCACCGAAGACTGGGTATTTTCTAGCATAGTTGAAAATAAAGGTGAGGCGAGGAAAAACCTGCGGAAAAGGCACGCGGGGAGGAGCTTTCAACCAGCACCACCTGCACCTTGCTGTCGTTCTCCCACTCATCGAGGTATTTCTTGTACAATGCCGTCATGTCTATTTAAAAGGGATTCCATATTAGTGCTCTAAGAATTGTAAACTGCAATTAATGTCCCATTGTTCTTGGTTTCAAGCTTACAAGGAAAAAACACACAGCATACTTGGCAAAAAGCATGTGGAGGAATCATCGAACTGTAAGTAAATCGAAGCAAGAGCTTAAATACTGCAGCCTAGCAACTCGGTATTATTGAGGTATTTCTAGAGTCAATCTGCCTGCCATTAGCTTTGACTTCAATTACATGATGTGAGTGAGCAAGGTTTCTTACAGCAGAGTAAACCCTAAGCTTCACGCATTTCCTCAATAACGTACACTCCGAACAGCGTTTTAATTAAACATGACAGTGAAGAATTGGGAAAAGATAAACTCACCCGAATTCATGGCATTAAGGGCTTTGGGACGGTCCAAGGTGATGACGGCGAGGCCATTCGGAAGAACAGAGCTCTTCACCCAGTCTTGCACTGACCCTGCCATATTCTATTCCGAAATAATCCTGCAATTCATCCGATCCTGCAACCAAACAATCCAGCAGCCATGGCTCCAATCTCAGAATCATGGACATGTGAATAACATTCATAATGAACAAGCTCACTACCAGCCGAGATAGATTAAGGTGCACACTCGACACCGAGCAGTTGAACGGCATCAGAACACCACAAATCGATAAAGCCGCTTCATAATCGAGCAATATTTACACAATGATACTCACCAACACCTCCAAAAGATTCTCAACGATGAAATGGAGCAAAAGATAGCAACACCTAAGTCGACATTCCCTTACACAAGAGCTGGAAACCGAATGCTATACGAAACTCAGTTACAAGACAGGGAAAACGAATGCTTCCGAGGTCGGGGACTTGTCCCACAACAAAATGCAGCAACACTTACATCACGGAACTGGGCTCCGTGAATATGCACACAATTCGTGTGAGTTCGAAGGTAATCCACCTGCGTAGGGTTCGATCTGATGGTCCCAACGCAGCGAGGTTGCGATTGACTGATCTTCCAATGGTCTAAAACTGGGACCTTGGACTTCAATACGTACGGAACATGGGCCATGTCGGTGGTCCAGAATGGGACAGACAAATGCCAGACAAAACACATGGATGTGATCAGTCATAGATAGATTAGGACATTAATCTCCTAATAGGGGTCGATGCACACAGAGCAACAACAATAGGTTCACAATAATATTGTAGCTGATTTCATAAAACTAATACAATTTTGTTTTTGCGTGCACGGGTTGTGGAATGTGAATGTTTGGATTTTGTGTAAAAAATGAGTTGCTGTATGAATCCTGTGTGTGTGTTTTGTAAAAGAAGAAGTGGAATACAACGAGGAAGTAAGTTCGAAAGATGAAGTAATGGGTATCACAATTTTGTAGTTGTGTCACAAAATCATTTTGAAATGGATTTGTTCATGTGAATTTTACTAGATCTAAAATTGTGTGGACTAAAAATTATTGCAAGTTAGTGTATAGAATAGTTTTGAGAGAGTCAATTGCGGTTTTAAAGTGAGTATGGTTTAATATGATTTTTAATGATTTGTGTTTGTTTAACTTTGAGTAATTAATTTCAAATCCTAATGAATAACACAAACCGTGTATATAGAAGCTATCATCAAGCCGGATGTGGAGCAGCCAACAACAGACCGGGTATAGAGCAGCCATCGACAAGCCGGATATGTAGCAGCCAACACCAGACCGGGTAACGGACAGCCATCAACAGACAGTCACGCCACAAACCGTGGCATCGATCCAGTGCACTTAAAGTTTCGCACTCTTATAGAAATCAGGATTGACGTTTGGCTGACAAATTTACGAGTACTCCTGTGAAGATTTCGGCGCCGTTGCACACTGTTGGTCTACGTCCCAGTGGGACTCTAGATCCCATTGTATCTCGATGCCGAGCCCGTGCTGCAGCAGTCCAAACTACGGAGCTCCAGTATAAAAATATTGCAGAGATTCTAGCGTACCGTGCCCCACCTCGCACTGTTTTGGTGCAAAGTCTACGAGGTCATTGTCGTGACTAGACAGATCCTTGATAAGTGTACACGTGATGAAGTGTGTAATCTCCTCCACTTAGGTGCTCGCGTACTGCTTCGATTACAGACCGGATTGGGCAGCGGCTGGTTTAATTTTATCACAAGGCCGCCGTTTCGTGAACTGATAGACTATATATCCAATCACCGATAACGATTTTTTTCCAGATGCAGCCTACTATCTGGATCATAGTTTCTGACCTGTCTGATAGCTGTAATACGCAAAATTGATGCGGGTTGTGAAGTATACTGCTCACCTTGACAGGGCTCGCGTACAAAGTTTACAAATCTTTGCAGAATAGACAAACTACTTGGAGACCATGGTCTTCAATTGCGGTTCAGGGACCGACAAGTACCGGGAATATGACTCTATGGACGCACGGAGAGTAGCAGGATGCGCTAAACTGCACTTGTCACTAGTGCTTCTCATTCTGGTGTTCGGACAAAGTGCGACGGCATTTGTATGCCCCGACTACATTTATGTCTTCGGCGATTCTCTTACTGACGTTGGAAATGCTCACGCAGAGTTACCCATCTTCAACACTGTAACCAATTATAACTATGGCATGTCTTACAGCTTTCCCGACCGCCCTTGCGAGAGAACCCGATTCTCTGATGGCAGGCTCCTGATTGATTACACAGGTATGCGTGGGGAAGTTGATCATTCTTGTTTTCCATGAAGGCCGCAATGTTATTGCCAACAATCTAAAACACTTTCCTGAATGAACATGCGATGCGTCTGACCAGCTCAAGCATTCGGAGTGCCTTTTCTGCAACCATATTCTCGACACCTTCATAGCTCAGCTTACAAACATGGCGTCAACTTTGCCTATTCTGGCGGAACAGCAAAGTTTACGCCAATTCCTTTTCCAACTTTCTTCTTAGAACGTGAAGTCGAGAACTACTTCAAATTCAGAGCCAGTTATTCAGGTACCTTTGCACCTTAAATCATTTTGACAATGTCCGTTACAGGTGACTACCTAGAATGGGATGCCGTCTCCTTGTGGTAGATAAAGCCCACACTTGATTTGGGAGGGAGAATTTAAGTTACTTTCCAAAGGAATAATTACTTTGCAGTTTTTAACTTAATATGTTCAATGAGTAGGGCCGTTCGTCAATGTGAGTACTGCGCTGCACATGATACCGGAGATAGGAGCCAACGACTACATTTATGCATTCACCTTGGGCCTTTCACCTGCTGAAGCTAATGCGAAGCTCGACGGTTTGATTCTCCGTGCTATAGAGAGGACTGTGGAGGTAATAAGTTTGGAACTCCATTGCATCGTGGGAATCTGAAGCAAGATTTGAGTTTATAATGCAGGTAGCTACTACTAAGATTGATGTTGATGAGATCGAACAAGATCAAAATCGTGATTTATTTATTTTTTAAATGGCTCTGTAATTGACGATTGCAGAAGCTTCACGCTGGAGGGGCCAGATTCTTTTACATTTTCAACCTGCCACCAGTTGGATGCACCCCTTTCATGCTTACGCTTTTCAGCCACAGGAGTCCTAAAGATCAGTTTGGCTGCTTGTCCGCTCACAACTCCGTCATCGAAATCGCCAACGGGAAGCTGAAGGCCGCGGTTGACGAGTACCGACGAAAGTGGCCAGACACCATCTTTCTCCACTACGACTCATATGGCGCTGCTTTGGAAGTCATTCAGACCGGTCCGGCAAAGTATGGTAAGAGCATGGGTTCCATTTCCACTTTAATAGTGATCAAGCCAGTGGATCAGAAACTGCCATACGGCAGAAGTTTTAAGTGGTTTTGGTTGGTGCAGGGATCGACGCAGATGGGTTTCGAGCGTGCTGTGGCGGCGGGGGGCCCTACAACTTCAACCCTTTTGTGCTCTGCGGCTCAGGAAAAATAGCCAACGTGTGTCCAGATCCCGAGCACAAGCTCTTTTGGGATTTTATCCATCCCACTGAAGCTTTCTTCCGCGTCATGGCCACCTTTGCTCTCTCGGGGCAGTACGTTGACGGACCTCCTGAGGTTGCCAATCTGAAAGCTGCGTGCAACTTAGACTTCAGCTCCTTTGCTCAGAGCATTCCCAATTCACCCAGTTGTCCTCGTGACACAGCAGTCACATGAGCTTGAGAATCCAGACCATCTTGAAACGTTGGCAAGCAATCAGTACCCGATTCATGGATCCTAGGGCTCATGAACGACCGTCTCCTGCAAACAAGCAACCTTTGTCCATGCCTGCATGAACTTCAGCTCCACATCATGCACTCCTAGAGGAGGAACTTCACGTGTTCCCCAGAGCTGAAATGCTGTTGCAATCGTCTGTTCTAGACCTCCTACATCTTCATATTATAAAGACTAGCCTAGCGTTTACTCAAGCAAAAGTGCAATGATAATAGCCAAAGAAATCCAAGCTGCGCTACAACAGATGTGTTGAATTACAGTCAATGGAAGCAGTAATCTTTGAACGGCGACTGATCGCCGCAGCACAAGCTAATGAAGTGTGCCTGTTGAAGATGAACACACGTGTACACACACACACACACACACACATATATATATATATATATACATGGAACCTCAAGGCATTCACTTGCAATGGGTATGAAATGTGCCGAACAGTGACGACCCCTTGTCTTGTGCAATTATGTTCGATGTCAAAGTCTTCATTACAAGACAAGCGCGGTTGTTGTAAAGAAATTCAACAAAAGAAACAATGGGATCATCATTAGGGTGTAGCAACGTTAGCGAACAACTTCATTGTAATGTAATGAATCGGAAACATTCTCTCACAAGCCATCCTTCTGGGGTTTTCCATAACACTAAATTGACTGGCTTGCAAAAGCCCAGTCTGATTATCTTTTACAAATGGTTGGTTTTAGTTGGTGCTGGGTTTCTTGGAAATGGAAAATCTAGTGAGCAATGAAGTATGTTCGAACCATCATCACACAGGTACTGGAAATTCTCATGGCATTGTTCGTATAGGGAACAGCTTGTTAGTCCACAAAGTGGTAAAATTAGCGCTGAATGGATGCTGTAGTATTGTTAACAGACCACAGTTATTCCTCACATTGTGATGAGAAAGACAAAATATAATCTTAAGTAGTCAACAGAATATCTAACGGAGGTGCTCGCTTGTATCACCCAGCTTTTTAAGGAGCATGACTTGTTCAGTAAGACAAGTGTTGATCCACGAAACCAATTCCTCGGCAGGCTGGCATTCAGAAGCTCCAGATCAGGCAGCTCTAGTGGTGCAACAGTTCATTGCGTGTCTGCAGGGATGGGTACAGCTGAAGTCAAACATGAGCTGAATAGAATGGTGAACTCCAACATAATTTCTTTTTAACATTCAAAACTCACCCAAATACTAGAAGTACCTCGTCTTACATGAATGGCATGTTGTCTCATCAGCACAGTACTGGAGGATTTAAGTCTGCATTGTAGCAAAATTAAAATTGATACCAGTCACACTCAAAAACTTCTCTTCTATACTTGGAGAGGATATTCATCTTTGGAATGCATCCTCAAATAAATATATGCCACCACTATATATATAGGATCTCTATTGAGGTTTGTTGAAGTCTTATTATTATTTTGAATCTGACACATACAAGGTGAACATGGTATAATAACATCCTGTCTTAGGCCTTAATGTTTTTATTACAAAGTAGGTATATAAAGTTCAAGTTAACAAATTTTGCAAAATTTATTTGACCAATCTCTATCTAGTAAATGTGTAATTGAATTGTATACCAAAAGTCACTTGATTCTGTTTCTATCTCTCATATATATATATATATATATATATATATATATATAATCTTGTTAGTGATTAAAATAACCTGATTTTTTAAAATTATTAATAATTATTTCTAAAATTATATTTTAAAATCTATTAATGCTTGCCTTTAAAATTTATCTAGAATATTTTTTAAATCTTTGAAATAATAGTAGAGTTTTTTAGTTTTATTTTTTTATAAATAATTATTGTTTTGACATGATAGCTTTCTATGGCTGCTATCTCTATAAAGAGCTTGTCAATTGTTTCAAAAGTAATACGGTGTAATCTCATATCTATTTAGCTTAAGAATACTTCTACAACTTGCTTATTTTATACTTAATTATTCAATGTAAGAAAAGAACAAAAAAAAATTTATTATTTATTATTTGTTTTCTTCTATTTATTAATTATAATTTCTTTTTTTTTCAAATTAATCATATTTATATAGTTTTTATTTAGAACTCTTATCTTAAACCATGTGCTTTTTTAGAAAAAAGTTAAAATTTGATTAATTTAAACTATTAAATATTGGGAAAAAAAAAACAAACAAACAAACAAACAAACAAACAAACTATTGCAAACCTTACATTACAAATTTAAGTCCAAAAATATGTTGTAGTGTATGCAGAATTCTTTTTTCTCAATATTTTGTTTAATCTTAAAGTATTTTAAAGAGTCTCATATTTCAACCTCCATATATTTATGTTCTTCCATACTATAATATTATTACCATAAAATCTATATATCAAGTTGTTGAAAAATACAAGATATTGTTTGAATCTACTTTAATTATATATCTTGCAATCTCTTTTGTTTTTATTGCACATGCAAGCATTGTTATTGTTGTGCATATAAGCTCTTCTTCTACTAATTTCTTATTACTAATTTCTATTTTATTTTTATCTACTTTGTAAAATGTTCAAGATTGTTGAAAAACTTATTATTTACTTCTTTTATTAATCATTATAATAATATTATTTATCTTTAATATAATATCTTAAAATAATTTTAATTTTAATATTTTGTTGATAAAAATATTTTTTGTTAATATTAAATTGGAGAGATTATATTATTATTATTATTATTATATTCTTATCTTTTTAATACTTCTAAAACTCTTGTAGTTCTTAATGTTGTAGATTGTTTCTAAACAAAATCTTTAATCTATAAGTACATCATTGAAATATATTAAGATAGTTTTCTTTTTTTTCTTTTTTTTTCTTTTTTTTCTTATTCTTTTTGGTGATTAGATTCGTGAATTATTCTTCTAATTCTTTTCTTATTCAAAAATAATATGAAAAATATTTAATCATTGCATTAAGCATAATCTTTATTTTTTTTTAGAATTTTTCATATATTAGAATTTATCTATAAAATAACTTATTTTTTTAATAATTTCTTTTAAAGTAATAATAGTTAGTGAATTGATGACTCTTTAATCTTATTTTTCTTATCTTAATTTCAATTTCTTTAAAATCAAAGTTTATGTCACATCCTTAAAATGAACAAAAGTTTGATGATTTCTACTACAAAGCAAGTAGCAACATCTTTTAATTAGTCCTTTTTAAATTTTCATTTAAATAAAAACATTTCTTACCAATTTTTTTGGATTAAATTACGATTTCTTGCACTTTGTAAGATTTGATAGAATTGATTTTTAAAGAATTTGTTTTAAGAAAAAATAAATAATTATATAATTAATAAGAAATTCCATCTTTGTTCTTATTACTTTGTTATCAACTGTAGAATAATTTATATTAAGAAACTTACATGACTTTACAAAGAGCCCTTGATAAAAAAGAAATACAAAATATTACTTTAATAAGGTGGGACTTTCTACCTTTTTATAAACATCAATATTTTCTATAATCTTTTGGTCTTTTTGGTTGTCCTAGCATGCCTCCATTAAGCAAAGACTTGTGTTTCCTAGTTACACTTTTAAATTATAATAACTTATATTTGAACTTATACAAATCTTAAATATACATGTTTTTATATTTTAAATCTTAAGCAAGTTCTATTATATAATTTACTACTATCACAGAGCTATGTATTTACTCCAATAATTACTTAAATAATATGAATAGGTAAAATTAGGTAAAAATAAATTAATTCCTAAAAGCTTCATAGACATGGTTTCATCTTTATTCATGTCTATAAGTGATTGATAGGTTGAACATTTGGCCAACAAATTAGGTATGAATTATATGTGTTGGTAGCTTGTTGTACAAGATAACCATGTGGCGCACATATAAGAAACTTGCCTTATAAGTTAAGACATGTATTTTGCAAATTAGACACATGTTGAAGGCCCTATAGAATGTCACTATGTAACTCCTTGTTAGATAGTATCTCCATATATGGAGGCAAGAGTGAAGCCTTCTTTACTTTTGTCAATTCTTTTCTTGTTTCTAGTCTAGTTTCAAGAGTCTCTAGTTTTCTAGTATTTGGCAATTACCCTTCTAATTTCGTCTTGAACATACATACTTTCTTATTTTTATTTTTCCATTTCTCTTTGATACATATCTCATTTATTTACATATCTTCTTTGAATTCTTGTCCTTCATAACTACTCTTCTTTGTTTGGTTTTACACAAAAATGATCCAATTGATACTTAAGAAATTTTACACATGGATTTCATCAACCTTTAATATAAGTCTCAATTTTGTCTTGTCCATGTGCAACAAGTAGGACAAAACCAAAATTATTATAAATAATGAGAGGTTATATGTCAAAATTAATAATTGGGAAGATTGATACCAATGACATTGGATGATGATAGTAGTAGATTGCAGTAGCTCATGTTAGGACCAATCTTCACCTACACATGAATTTTTTTTTGTTAATATTATGTTTTAACCCTTTCCCATAGTATCTAATTGCTTCTCCCTAATTCTTTGTCATAGCTCTCTTTGTCATGGCCCTAAGTTTTGATATTTGCTAGAGAGCACAGAGAAAGATAAGCATGTAAAATAATTATTTGAATTATCCAAAACTCATTCAAGAATAAAGAAGAAAAATAAGCAATGTACCAAATGGGTACCTTTTCTGACTTGGCCTTCTCTGTCTCTTTAGCTGCAACTATTGAATGTAACAATACTAGTACGTTCTTAATCAAACACAATACCCCAATTAACAAATTTTGTAATCTAAGTTAATTGCGGCCAGGCAGTAGCGGTGCCTACCCTGAATAGAAGACATTTTCATTACAGAAAAGATTTTCTAATTCTCACGCAGTCAAAGCCATTGCTCGGAGACTCCTAGTGAATGCACTAAAAGGGGCAGAGTTTCATGTTCCCAAGTACTTAAGGTTGGTACCTGAACGAGAAAATCCATGCAGGCCCTCATTTCTGCAAAGATGACAGAATCACAAGCACTGTATTCTTGACGAAACGAAGCACTTATCACTTTCCTCTCAACGATTCTCCAAAAGAATCTGAACCTCATACTTGGGCAGTGTGATCGCCACACTGGATAGATTGTCTCGGAGTTCACTTCCCTGTTTTCAAGAGGCTTCACATGACGTAGGGGAATATTCGACACTGATCCTGGCTGGGAAGTCCCAGGAAGAATATTCTTCTGGTTTGCTGCTAAGATTGGTAGAATGCAACAAATCATAATGCTCACTGACAAAGAAACTCGGAGTCTGGGACAAAGAAATGCGGATCTTACAGTTACGAGGGTCAAGGGAGCGAGGTCCCGCATGCCTCTGCAGGAGATACCTCAACCCAAGACGACATGGAGCGAAGTTTCTTCAATCCTCCAGATCCATCCTTATCTCAATAGTTGTTCCGGCGGCTCGGGATTCCTTTTCACGCTGCTTGGGTCCTGTCTGCATACTGCCTCCGACGCGCGAAGTCTCTGAACTCTTCGCAGAAAGTTTGAGCATCGGCTTAACCTAATCTCGACCCATGTCCAATTCAGCCACACACATCCTTGTGTGATATCCTACATGAGTATAAAACTTGCGAATGAAGCATGCTTTGGGAAGCACAGCTTAGAACCCCAAAAAGCGAACCCCAAAGAATACTCTACGTCCCTGTCTGTCAGAGCCTAAACTGCACGCGCGGTACGGGGATGTTTAGCGATTCATAGCGGCAGTAGTGAAGGAGGAGTTGAAACTACACCGAGGTTTTTGAAAAGTGGCGGGCCGGTGTGGTTGGATGCTGACACTTCGGTTGTAGGACACCATCGGCAGATATGTGCGGATAAAAGAGCGGGGTACATGCGTCTGCAGCTTGACGGCTCCATCAAAATTATTAGCGCAGGAAATTGGCAGGTGGGAGGGAGAATCAGGTCGTTAAGCCTGCTCCTTCGAGGCTCCGTTCACATCATCACTAGAAGCTCAGTTTCTCCAGCTACACAAGCCTCTGACGTCCGGTTCGTACTTCTTTCTGATCATACGTGACCTGTGACCTGATTGTTGAGCACTGTGCGCTAGCTTGAAGATGCGTCTCTGCTCTAGTCCTTCGGGTTTCTAGTTATGTTGCGGGGAGTTGAATGATGTGTTCCGTTGATTTCAGGAGGTCTTGCGGATGCTTTGAAGGTTAGAGCTCAGGAATGGAGATGGTTGTTGTTGTGGTGGAGAAGAGGGCCAGTGTCTGGTGAATCCGTTCACAGGTTTCGTGTTTCGGGCAAGTGCGGGTGAATGTCATTGTAGTGAGGATTTTGTGTGGTTGGGGGAGAGGTTGGTGAGTCTAGTTGTTGAAGACTGTGAGGGTGTTCCGATGGTGTCGGCAGCTCATGTAAGTTGGAGAACGTAACTAACAGCGAGACGAATGGTCACAGATTCTAGGTCTTGGTGTGGTATGGTGAGAGATTGGTTTCGTGATCTGGAGGGTATTGTAACTTACAGTTGAAGAGGTGGAGATTTTGGTGGGGAGTTCGTGGGCGTTTCGATGAATATTGAAGATCGGGAATGAGGGTGCTAAGTAGCGTTTCTCCGAGTTTCAGAATCGTAGACTGTTGTTAATGTTGTCAGGGGCTTTACCGTTTGCAAGGATGTTGTTTAATAGGTCTGATTTCGACTACATAGAATCGCATTCAAGTGGGTCTATATTTGCAGGGTGTGAAGTAAGAGTTTTGCAGAAGTAGAAGAAGAGATAGTTACCTCTTCTTCGAGTCTGGTAACCAATTCAAATTATGCAACTCTTTCTCTTTGTCTCCAGGGTTCGCGAGGTGTACTTCGGGCCAAATTTCAAGTCAGCACTACTTGTGAACATCTTGAGGCCAAATCAAAAGGCAATTGAGAAGAGTATTAAATTTGGCGATCTCAGCTCCACTGAATTGGAACGCTGCACCCTCCACAGTGGATAACACAGGGAGGTTGTAAAGGAGTCTGGGTTAACTGGTGATTGTGAGATTTGCTTCAATCTCATTACGGCACCGGTCTCCACGCATCCCATCAAGAATATTTATGAACAAGCAGTTATTCTTCTTTGAGACGTTTAACGAAGGAAAGATGGGTGGTGAAGCAGACACTTCTGCGTTTTTTCAAGCTGAAAGAAATTTTAGATGCCAATGCTACTGAGGTTAGTTTGAGGGATAAATTAAGCTGGCTTCCTATGACACTTCCGAGGCCTTAGGTCTGTGAGATTGGCAAAGGTTGCTCAGAATGGGAACATGCATGTCGACCGAGGATGGGATGACCAATGTAGGAAGGAGGCAGCCGGTAATGGCAAGGAATCAGCTGAGGCATGTAAAGAAGAGAGATAAGGAAGCTTTGACAATCGAGGGGCAGAGAGACTTACTTCTGGCTTTGACGCCCGGACGAATGTTTCGTATTGGTGCCAGCGGCTCTGCATGTACACACACACAGCAGGGCCGAAAGGGATGTAATCAAGATGCTATGCTAGTTTGGGAGGTACTTTTCGTTTCCGATCGTATGATTCAGTTTCATCTTTGAATCTCCTCTCTTTACCCGTATTCTCTTAGTTAAGTATTTGTTGGTTTGTGGATGCATATATAAGGGTGCAGTATTATTGGTTTCGCAACCTTTCTATCTAAACTGTAAGGTTAGAGTTGGAGTTCCAAAATCATTCAGTAGGAGTAATTGGGTTGAATATGTGGAGCAGTTATGCTTTGTTAGTGGCATTGTTATATGCGATCCTGCTTTGAAATGAACTATTTCGGTTTTCATTTCTTTTCCTCTTCCTTTTCCTTTGTCTTTTTATGGGGATAGAGATCGTCTAATTACCTTTAAGCTGACTGGTAATTAACATGCTTGTGTGTGGGGGCTTTGTAATAATTTTAGAAGTTTGCATCAATGAATGACACCGTATTTTGTGGAGTTTTCGATGGCCACGGACCTTTTGGTCATTTGGTGGCGAGGCGAATACGGGATTCCCTTCCCTCGAAACTGGTAGCCTTTTGGCATGACAAACTAACATCCATAGAAAAAATCGAAGGCAGCGAAATGGAGGCGCTTGGCAATGGCGAAAGCACACATACTGACCACGAGTCGAATCTGAGTACTTCTCGCGAATTAAGTTCGGAGGAATTTCTGGGAAAGCCAGTCAGGGTGCCTCCCCCTATGTTTGAGCCTTGGAGGGAGTCGCATCTGAAGGCCTTCGAAGAAATGGATAAAGAATTGCGTACTCATCCTGCCATCGACTCTCTTTACAGCGGATCAACAACAGTTACAGTTCTCAAGCAGGTTGTCTTTCATTTTTAATGGAATCTACTTTGTTATAAAATTGACATACTAGATTGAGTTCTTTGAGGCTGTCCCGGGCAACAAGGACTGAAGAGTGGATGACTTGAAGTTCCTTGACATAAGTTTTAGTTTGAGGTATGATGGTTTTTAACAGCCACAAGTTCATGTGATAGGTGTTGGGTGAGGGCTTAAGGTTTATTTTGGCCTTTCCTACCCTTATACGTTAGACGTGCAAGTGAGTGCAGCACTTTTTGGCATTTTGATAATTAGTTCATTTTTTCGTTGCTGTCCTTTTTTGCAATTTCTTAATTACTGAGTAAGCCAGAACGGGACATCATTGATTATCTGCAGGGACAACATCTTGTAGTTGGAAATGTAGGTGATTCCCGAGCAATAATGGGAACTCTAGATGACAATGGTAGCTGGAAAGCTGCTCAGTTGACAGTTGATTTGAAGCCCAGCCTTCCTAGTATGGTTCCATCTTTGTGTTATTACTTTACCTTCACATTTCAAAATAACTCTCACGCCTATCTATATAATATTCTGCTGTCATCATCAGGTGCTGATTGGTAACCTTTGCTTACACCTATATTTTTTAATGTATAGGTTATTAATTCAAATGGCACCACTTTAACAACTTGTATTTCCTGGCTTTAATATCTCTAGCAGCTTTCTCACTCTAGCCTCCAATCTGTATGCTAAACGAGACACTAGTTATGTGATCCAGAAGAAGCTGAAAGAATCAGGAAGTGCTCGGGCCGTGTGTTCGCTCTTCACGACGAGCCTGAGATCATGAGGGTGTGGCTGCCATTTGAGGATTCCCCTGGGTTAGCCATGGCTAGGGCGTTTGGTGATTTCTGCCTTAAAGATTATGGCGTGATAGCTGTTCCCGAAATCACTTACTGTCAAGTGACAGATCGTGACAAATTTATCATCCTTGCAACTGATGGAGTATGGTTTTCTTGAACAGCGATCCCATCTTGATTATTGATTCAACCTTCTATTTCTGACCTGTGGTTCTATCAAGTCGCTTGAAAGTTTCTATCTAATGTAGAAGTTTCTTTAAAATTTTGCTTCTCATAAATTTTGCTGACATTATGACGTTTCTTAATGGTCTTGTTTTTTATGCTTTACTGTCCTAAACTCGTCAACGCTTTTGGAACCAATACATGTTTAGTTACTGCCTGATTCATCTTAAATGTTACTGTTGCGAAATTTGAAGCCACAATTTCTCGTGCTTTGTTGTATGTCGTGATCTCAGATTTGGGATGTGTTAAGCAACGAGGAAGCGGTACAAATCATAGCAACTGCACCTACGCGTGCTACAGCAGCCAGGTCCTTGGTGGAGTCTGCAGTTCGGGTGTGGCGTCTGAAGTACCCTGCATCCAAAGTAGATGATTGTGCTGTTGTGTGCCTTTACCTGGACCGTGCTACTGATGAAGACATGTTTACAGAGGCCTCCGCCCTTATGAGTAAAGAGAGTCTACCAACAAGCCTATTGATAACACCCCAAAATCAATCTGATGTTGGAGTAGAGTGTGTTAGCATGACCACACCGGTGCAGGAAATCAGAAAAATAGATTTGAGCTCGGGAAAATCTCAAGATGCTGGGGTCCAAGAGATAGGGGAAACACTCAACAGTGAGGAGGAAAACGGTAGTGACCATACTGACTCGAAACGCCACCGAAGCTTGGATGACTGTTTGCATACAGATGTAGGGGGATGGAGTGCTTTAGATGGGGTTACACGTGTTAATTCTATTTTGAACCTGCCAAGATTTCCTGATGATGCTAGTCAATCCGAGATGCCTTAAATGAAGAATCTGTGACGCATTATGTGTCGTCTTCCCTCCATAAGGCTACATGGCTCTATACCCACCCAAGTATTCTGAGTTAGAAACAATCTCTTCCATGGCCTAGATTCAGCTAATCTACTTAATTGCCATTAGCTGAACTATCTGGCAATAGGCTATCTGACTGAACAATAAATAGTACAAGAAAGCCTAAGTTTAACATGCAGAGGTCTGCCCCATGTTTCTCGTTGGCGTTCGGTGCCCTACGATCTATCTCCGGACAATAGCTTATTATACACATTATTGATATCAGAATGTTCTTTCACGTTTCAGCAGAGGTAGAGACATCCTCAAGTCGAATCTGGCGACCGAAGCGATAATATTGCTCGACATGGGTCACACATGTTGACAGTGATAGCACGCTCCGTGACCTGGTATGTAAAATGCTGAATGAAGCAATCGCTGCACCTGATCGTTTGTTAGATTGAGAAAATAGTTGTTCAACTGTCTCATACGATTCTCACTAACACATACTCGTGTTCTCAACAGGTTGCATCGGATCGTGGAGGCTGAATAACTGGTTCAGTATTTCTTTTCACACAATTCAAGGTTTGCTGGTCATTCAACGTTTTATACATTCTTAAAAATTTGTAGTTGTTACAAAGTGTAGTTGGTCTTTCTACTTAGAGGATTCTACAATGCAGGGTTGGGTGGATGTTCTTGCCCATTTTGAAATGACAGGGAAAAGTAGATAAACTGAATCTAGAGATTTCAAGATTTGAGTAGTTCAAATTTGCAACTCAAAAGTTGCAATCACTTCTTCTTTTTTTAAATTTTTTATCAATATAAAGGTCAATAGATGGAAGTTCACTAGTTTTTTTTAGTATTTGTTTTTTTCATGTGGTTAATTATTGTCTTTTATTGGGCTTATCCAATCTTTAACAAATAGATCCAATAATGAAGCGTAATTCTCTATAATTGTCATATAAAATGATTAATTTTAGGATAATGAACTAATTTGAACCTACTTACATAAGAGTCACATCCTACTAGTAGTCCATGAAATAATCTTGTAATTGGTGGTAATTGAGATTAGTTGTATATTAACCACATTAAAAAAGCTTATTACTACTATTCATTGGACTAAAGAGATGACATTGGTGATTTAAAAATGTGATTATTTATAAATAAAAATGACAATTCTAAATCTTACATGATGATATTAAAATCAATTACTTGTAAAATACTATTAAAATAAAAAAAATAAAAAAATCTTTATGTTAGATCTTAAAATATAACAAATATTTGTTAATTAGTATAAAAAATGTTATTAAATTTTTTATATTATTAAAATAATTATCTAAAAAAATAGACCTCAAATTTATTTAATATTAATAGAAAATACTTTTAAAATTAAAGAAATTAAAATATTATATGCCATTTATTACTAATTAAGTAAAATAAAAATATATAGTGACATATTTAATAAATCAAACAACAATTCAAACTATAAACTGATAAAAAAATATCAAAGAATTTTATTATTTAATTATATTTTAGTAATAATATAATAATTATAATTATAATTCAATAATAACAAAATATTTTATATTACAATTCAAAATTTTATTTTAAGCATCTACAATGTTATAGAATTAAGATAAATTAAGTAGATATTATATTTTTTTTACTTAATTTTAGTACAACCACACTATTTAGAATAGTTTAAACATAAATTTTATATTTGATAAATTACTAAATTTTAAATACAAATATATATATATATATATACATATCCTTGATATATTATATATAGTAAGCTATTATTCAAAGAAATATTAAAATTACACTATAAAATTGTATAATCTATAGATAGAATTTATAATAACCAACATTACAAGTTGCTATGGTTATGATTGTAATGTAGACAACAATGATAATATAGATATAGAACTACATTTTTTTTAAATAATTATGAATAAAGATATAAAAATTCTATTCTATTCTATTTTAATGCGTTATTTTTTAATACTTTTGTCTATTGAACTTACTACTTTTCTTCCTACTTTATATTTTATATTTTTATTATCATATATCTCCTTAGTTTTAAAAAAATATATTACTATTTGTATTTCAATTGATTTATATTTTTATTTGTGTTTCAATAAAAAAAAACTAAAACTTCATATAAATATAAATATTTTTTAAAAAGATACTTTTAAAATATTCTTTGAAATTTTAATATTAAATTAAATAAATAAATAAATAATAATTTAAAAATATTTTTTATTTATTTTTAAAAAATAAATTTAAATTGTATTTGTTTTCGATATATTCATATTTACATATAGAAAAAAATAGATAGAATCATGAAATTCTTTTATCTGAAGAATTAGAAAAGTCTATTTTAACAAGAGATATATCTTAATTTGAAATAAATTAAATTTAGGTGAATGTTAAATTGATTTAAGTTATTATAAAATCAATCCATTTATCTTAACCATCATAGAAACAAAAATAATCTCTATATTTATTTCTTTATTATTGAATCCGCAACCAATGAAAACCAACTATATTCATCATAATTACCATTTTTTTTTATTGTGGTTTAAAATATGGATGCCTCCCATTTTTCTTACATGCTATAGAAAAATCATAATTTTTTATTTAAGAAGGAGTAAGAGACATATCCCAAAATAAACTTCTCACCATCCCTCTCATCTCTCTTTTGTCTTAATTTTCGCAACTACTCACAAACGTGATTGCTTGCATCGTATTATAAAGTATTATGTGCTAACTTCAGCCTTTGCTATGCTTTGCTTTGCATACCATTGTTTTGTATTGTCATGCCTTGCGTAATGTATTTTAAACCTTTAGTTCTCATTTTCCTTCTCACTCTCCACCCTTCCACCAACTTAGGTGTATCTTTTATATCTTAAGAGTTTTTGATCAACTTTTGGTATATGTTCAACACCTATATTAAAGATGATAAGAGTGCACTTGCAAGTAAGTAACATATGCAATAATATATGTGGTATATTGAAAGCAAAGGAGTTGAATGCTTAGATGGTTTGATTATGTTGGAGATAGTAGATGTAGTTGGTAGCTCTAGTTTGGATTCAAAATAAATATTTAATTATGTCTTATAGAATTATGCTTTAGAAGTTAAATTAAATTTTTAAATAATATCTATGTTTAGTCCAATAGAGGCAAAATAATCACTTTGGTGATGTTAGAACTTATATATTGCATTGTCTTGTTATAGAAGTCAAGCAAATTACAAGGTTGCATTAGCCAAAACAATAGGATCCTAAAAGATGGAAGATGTTGCTACAAAGCAATCCAATTTAGAGCATATTAGAGCTACTAATCATTCTTCAACTCTTCTATCTTGTTATTATCTCCCATCATCCTAGCATCCTTGTGCTCTATACTTATAAGCATGTTTTTTCCATCTCTTTATCATTTGCAATTGCCTACCTTCAAAGTTATGTAAATTTATTTTATAAGATCTCATAATACAACGTAAGTCTATTTTTTAAGAATTTATTTCATTGAATTATTGGATAAGTGGTCTTTGTATTTGGATATTAAAGGAATGTCCTAGGTATTATATCTTTTGATGAACTACTTTCTATAGTGGTCTTATTGGATGGCTATCTAATAAAAAATAGAAGAATTTTTCTTGTAACAATGTTTGGTTACAATTAATTACTTTAGAATTTCTTTAGATATATTTTATTCTATTTTATAATTATTGATATATATATATATACATATATATATATATATATATATATATATATACATATATATATATATATATATATATATATATATATTCTTTAGCTAGGATAAGTATCTTTAAATTAGAAGCATTTGCTCTTTGTATAGTACTTGTGTTCATGCATGTTGTTAAGTATATTTAGCATCAAAATAATACCTCAATTTGCTATGGTGTTATTTTCTTTAATTGACTACATTTAAGCTTAGCTTCATATATCAAGTATAATAAATTTTAATTGATCTAAAATGCTTGTTAGTTCAAGAATGCTAGATGATAAGCAATCACATTAACTTCTTATGATATGTACAATTGTTGACATAGTAATGACTCCAACTTCAATGGCAATGTCTGTTATTTCCAAGTTAAGAAGTTTTTTTTATCTTAGCTAAGAAATTTGCAAAGGTATAACTAATCTCAAGAGTATTACTTTTTGGTTTTATTGATCTCATAAGATCTCAGTTTTTATATAAAATTATATTTGTAATTAATATAACAAAGAAATTATTCTTAAATCTTTTTAATCCATGATAGCAATAGATGCAAGTATAGTGTTTAAAAATACAACATTTATTCGTAGAGGCATTAAAGTAAATAAGTTCCTTTGCATGCCTTACATTATTTGATATATATAAAATCCTATGAATAATTTTTTGTAATTTTTCAATTAAAATTTAAAGAATATACTAATAAGTACTTAAAATATAATTTTATACTTTCATCAAGTCAAACTACTATTTGGCCCTCTAGCCTACTCATATATTATTTAATGCGTTGACTTACATTGTTGATAGGTTTATTCTCATATGGACCTTTTCCTTTGCAATATTGGATCCAAAATGGCACACCTTTCTATTATCCTAATGCTCACAATTCCATTCTACTACTTTCTCACTTATGTAACATTTGTTAGTAGCAAACAATGTGGTGGTTTATGTGACGTAACAATATATTCTAATAAAGGATTTAAGCTGACCTATTAAAAACATCAGATTTTTAGATAATAGTATATTTGGGACTAATAAGCGTCTATTTTTGCACCAATTTGTAGATGATCACATGTCATTTAGCTTTGTTTATTGTATTAGTCCTTTGACATAGACATATTCTTAAAGTCAATATTAGTTATTATTAAGATATAAATAAATAAATAAATAAATAAAAATAAAAACATTAGCAATCAAGAATATTTAATGTATCTTTGGTACAATAACTACAATAATAATCCCAAAAGACAAAGATGTAACCTTTATCCACACTTATTACATCCATTCTTTCCACCTCTATTAAAAAAATAAAATAGTTGGATTTGTTGCCATTACAAATGATATTTAGATTAAATTAGTAAAATATAATATAAAATTCTAATTACATGTAGATTAGCATTTGTATATAATCACTATAAATTTGATTTTACTCACAATATGTTTGTACATAGTTGTGAAAGAAAAATAATTTGAGTGTAAAAATTGGAAATATTATATTTGTAGCCTTTGTAATTTTTGCAAAGATGGACATTTTTTATTGCTTCAATAGTTTTTAATTATAGAAGAGTAAGTTGAATAATTGATTCTCCACCAAATTTTCTTGAATGGTTCATTGCTATACAAGGCTTGTTCTTTAGATGGTTGATTGTTGGATTTTTTAATCTTATTATGATGAATGTAAGTTCCAATAGTTGTTCATAAATCTTTTTTTATTAATAGAGTAATAACTCAAATATACAACCAATAGCATTGAAGATAGGATTGAGATCTTTGGAAGAAAAAAATTGATTTTTTGGTATTAATGGAGGTACTAAAATAATAATATTTATCAAATGTTATTGAGGATAAAAACATTTAACCATCAAAATACCACCGTTACCTAGTATACTTCAAATTTTATGTTTATATGAAAGTTCTAATGTGTTTAACAATATACATACATATGGAGAGTTGTTAAAATTTGAAAAAGATTTTGTTCACTTAAATTATTCAATAACAAGGTTAAGAGAATAGATGGATAGATGTTTCACAACATTTGTAAAAAAATCAATGTTGTATTGATAACATACACTTTTTATTTTGAGCTTTCTTATGCTTTAATTTCTCTTGTTATAT